AGTGTAGAGATCTACTGTGAATGGGCCCCATACTCCATCAGTGTCCACCCACACAATCAACGGGTTCCCCATTTAGATAAATTCCCAGTGTTACGTTTGAACAGCTCTAAGATTCTGTATGCTTTGCATCTACCGTCGCTCTCCAATCTTCCTGTGTTTTGATCAATATGAATCTCTTCACAACATACATCTGTTGGTGAAGAGTTAGATTATTTCCTTGAACTTATCACTTTTTCCCCACCATAAGACATTTGTCGCCATAAGGCTGCTCCTTTTTCCCCCCAATTGTTCCTGTGTCTGCCCCTGTCTCCTGCCAACCCACACACCTTCTCCTTTCCATTTCACCACTGTTGTTTGCTTTGTTTACTAATCCCACACCTTCTTCCCTGAAAGACTACTGCTGTACTGACTTGAAGCAATTTATTTAGGATGGTATTTGTCTGTATTCTCATTAAAATAAATTTTGAATGAAAAAAAAAAAACCTTAAGGAGAGGTAGAATTAATTACTTCCCAGTAAGTTGATGATGAGGTGTACTGTAGTTGATTGTACGAAATCAACATTTTAATGCTGTGAGTGATGTTAAAATCTATGTCTGCTCCTCAGATCATCTCAACCAGTCCGTTAAGGCTCCTCCTCCAGATGGAGTCATGACTCTGAACAGGAGGAGAGGAGCTGTAAAGCAACCAAAGATTCACGTGGTCAAAAACCATGAGTTTATTGCCACGTTCTTCCGCCAGCCCACCTTCTGCTCCGTCTGCAGAGACTTTGTCTGGTGAGGTGTCATCCTTGGTTACATACCAGTATTAACTTCATTAGCCTGATTCTGTCCTTTTGTGGACTTCTCACAAAGTTTTGCATGAAAGGTGTTTTATTATTTCAGCACTGCACATCTACAGACTGCAATATTTCTTTGCATTACAAATGTATTCTTGCCTGGCTTGTCAGTTTGGACAGACCAGGGAGGGCACGTTTTAGTAAATTTTTAATGGAAATTACTGTTCAGGGGTATTGTTTTTAACGTTATCCTTCTTTAAACCTGGTCAGATTATCCCTCACCTTGTGAGGCAACCAGATTTTCAAAAGGTTTCTAAGAGAAGACCCAAGTAACCTGCCTGTTTGCTTGTTTCTCAGCAATTGAGCTGTAAAGTTGGAACACCATCATTATAAGCATGAATCAGTGTCTAGGAAATTCCCGCAAGACTGTCAACTCATCGTCCAACAATAGGGAGTGTCAGCAATCTGTGAGCCAAGCTCCTCCTCCATGTATCCAATCTACCAAAAATACGTTCTCTTTACGGACAGACAGTAGAAAGTCTTGATTTTTTTTCCCCCCTAAGCCTGTACCTGATAATAACCTATATTTAACCTACTTTCTGTTTTGTTATCTCTTATCAGTTTTGATTGTAATAAATGCAAATCCATTGAGCATACACACGCTATTAGGTCTATTATTTTTTTTTGAGACTCAGATAAAACATTTTTTGCATATCAATAAGGTTGAGATCTATAGACTAATCCAAACAAATCCTAGTGTCAGTCATTCCAGCCACCCAAGTCCACAAACATGAAAATATTTCCTTTTTTCATGTCCATGATTTAAAACATTTTCCTTTCTTTCACCTATTTCAAACAGGGGTCTCAACAAACAAGGGTATAAGTGTAAACGTAAGTTGCTTTTAAGCTCATCTCCATATTTTTGCACGTTTACTCTTTTGACCTCTATCACCTAAATCATCCCTAGCATCTAAATGTACGCTTCATCTCACTTTTTGTTTACCCCAGAATGCAATGCAGCCATCCACAAGAAGTGCATCGACAAAATCATCTACAGGTGCACTGGAACAGCAGCGAATAGCCGTGACACTATGGTAGGTGAAGTTGATGTTTTCCAGTGTGCATGCAAAATGTCAACATCAGATCAGGTTAGTCCAGCAAGGCATGTTTTGTTTTACAAATATCAGCTGGAGGACATGGCTGGAGTATTTACTGCACTAAAATATCAAACTTGACCCAGTTACTGAGAAAAATACTATTTCCAAACACTATTTCCATACTGCAGCAGCTTTTTTTTCCGAAAGTGAGGAGGTATATCAAGCAGAAGAGAAAAACAACAGAGTTAACTAAAAATATCAAACTGTTAACTTCCATAATTAGAGCAAAACCAATAAATAGGGGGCAGCTTAGCACTGAGTTACAACATAAATCATTTGAAAATATAACTTCCCTGTTTGGCAAAACAATAGCTTAGATAGCACTTGGTAACAGATGTACCTAACATTCTTTGTCAAGCTCTGTACCTTTTAGAAAAAGTTTATATTTTAGTGTGAAAAACAAGCATTTGTCAATTTGCACTGAGTGAGCAAACGTTGATCTGGTGCACACAAAACAGTGTCTTTTCACTTGTTTTATGCAATCTCATTCAGTTTTATTCTGTAAATCTGTAAAAATGTTAGCTGTTATGGTCTGTTAATTATAACAGTAATGGTATTATCCTTTCTAATATCTCCCTTTTATATCTTTCTAATTCTAATGGATGTAGTTCCAGAGGGAGCGCTTCAACGTTGATATGCCGCATCGCTTTAAGGTGTACAACTACAAGAGCCCCACGTTCTGCGACCACTGTGGCAGTCTGCTGTGGGGTCTTCTCAAACAGGGCCTCAAATGCAGCGGTGAATCATATTAACCCTTGTTTTAATTTGGACTTTACGTTCTCTTCGTCTTTGAATTCTACCATGAGGCTAACATCTACACTTTGAATGTATCCCCCACATACTGCTTGGTGCTCCTGCTGCTGAGCAGACTGCAACATGAACGTCCATAGTTACTGCCAATGCAAAGTGGCCAATCTGTGTGGAGTAGACCAGAAAATGTTGGCAGAAGTTCTGTCTCTAATTGCCAAGGTTGGTGGATCATCAAGCTTTTTGCCTTTTTTGTCATTAAAATCTGTGCTTTTACCCTAAATATTTGTTTTTATAACAGGAAAATGAAGTCAAGAAACAGGATGACTGCAATGGACCAGAAATTGGGATTTATCAAGACAGGAGTTCAATTACAAGTCCGAGTGGTAAGACATGTACAGTAGAAGACGAGCTATCGGGGGAGGATGTTACATGTGAGTTAAATGTTGATTGTTATTCTCCTTACATTGTTGCTTTTTTTTTTTATTATTATTTATATATGTTTCTGAAGCGCTAGATTTCCCTCGGTATTTGCATGTGTATTTGTTTATAGATTTGCATATTTATTTACTCAAAGTGTCCAAATTTTCAGCAGGTGGAAAAGCAAAGAGTGTGAGGCCGGCCCCATCCCAAGTAAAAACCCAGCAGTCACTCATGCACCTCAACATGGAAAACCTAACCTTCCATAAGGTGCTGGGAAAAGGTAGCTTTGGCAAGGTATGTCCTGCTGTCTTCACCGTTTATCTTTTCCTCCCTTTAAAATGTCGGAAAGCAAACCTTCCCATGGTTATCTGAACTCCCACATCCAGGTGATGCTGGCAGAACTCAAAGGAACAGGGCTGTTCTTTGCTGTAAAAGCCCTCAAAAAGGATGTGGTTCTGATGGATGATGATATTGAGTGCACCATGGTGGAGAAAAGAGTCCTGAGCCTGGCGTGGAACAACCCTTTCCTCACTCACCTCTACTCCACATTCCAAACTAAAGTAAGAACATCACCTATATAGCACCCCAAAGTTTTCCTTCCCCTTTCATTTGTAGGTTGAGCTTCAACCCAGTTGAACACCCATAGCAAGACTTTGAGTTTATGTTGATACGTTTCCAAAGTACTCTACATCTGTTAGTAAAACAATGTTCTTTATTATATCTAGGGCTGCTAAAGATTATTTTGCAAATCGATTAATCTGTCGATTATTTTTTTTTTGATTAATCGATTAATAATCGGATAGCCAAAGTTTCCTTAAAGATTTTTTACTAAGTTTAACCAGGTGAAACTAAAATGTTTCCACTTGAGGAGTGCTGGATATAGCATATTGACAGATGAACATTTTTTTTAATCTTAAATGCAAAATGTTTATATATTTTATTTCTTTTTTTTTTTTTTTTGTACAATTTTGATATAATTACTGCTCTAATTGGATTGTTCTGTCAGCCAAAGGCATATTTTAGAGTCTCTACCCTCCATTTAACGATTAATCACGATTAATCTGATTAATTGTTTCAGCCCTAATTGTATCCTTAAGGATTTTCTTAAGAGGAGTAAACTTAGGCTTCACCGCTGAGTAACAATTCCCAGCTGTTCATTAGATAAGACCACACATCCAGCCTGCGTTATCTGAATGATTCTCTCTACGCTTGAGTTCCTAATGTCTCATTTGTGAGCTCACAGTTCTATCTTGTTTTCTCAGGAGCATCTCTTCTTTGTAATGGAGTTCCTCAATGGAGGCGACTTGATGTTTCACATACAAGACAAAGGCCGCTTCGATATCAACAGAGCTACGTGAGTACACACCAAGATAAGAGTGTAATGAGCAGATTTATAACTGGGACTTCATTGATGTAAAGCGGTTTGACTTTTTACTCCCAGATTCTATGCTGCTGAGATAGTGGTAGGACTGCAGTTCCTTCATTCCCAAGGAATCGTCTACAGGTAGGAGTCTTTGTTCCGTAAAATCTGCAAATACAACAAAGGACACTATATAATCATTCAGTTAAACGTATGTATGTTTATCTACAGAGATCTGAAGCTGGACAATGTCTTGCTGGACAGTGATGGACACATAAAAATAGCAGATTTCGGCATGTGCAGAGAGAACATCTCCAATGAGAACAAAGCTGGCACATTTTGTGGGACCCCAGACTACATTGCACCAGAGGTTAGTCTGAGGATTTCCTTTTAAGTGTTCTAAAGAAATATGTTCATATATTCTGATGTTTGATTTCAATTAAAAGCTTCACTTTGCTTTCATTTATTTGCATGATCGTTTTTGTAAATGCATGTTTGCCTCCTGGTGGCCTTTCTAGGATACCACAGCATCTACATCAAACATAAACTAATTTCCTCTTGTCTACTCTATCTCAGATCCTGATTGGACAGAAGTACACTTTCTCAGTGGACTGGTGGTCATTTGGTGTGCTGGTCTATGAGATGCTGATTGGTCAGTCACCATTTCAAGGTGACAGTGAGGATGAGCTGTTTGAAGCCATCAGGACAGAACCCCCTCACTACCCCCGATGGATCACCAAGGATTCAAAGAGTCTGCTAGAGCTGGTAAATGAGTAGTTGTGTTGAAGGAAATGTCAAAGATATGTTTCTTTTGTTTCTGTTATTTAGTGAATTTCCTCCTGTCTTTCCCTCAGTTGTTTGTGCGAGATCCAAAGCGCAGGTTGGGGGTGGTTGGCAACATCCGAGAGCACTCGTTCTTTAAAAACATCAACTGGACTTTACTGGAGAAGAGACAAGTGGACCCGCCGTTCAAGCCCAAAGTGGTATGAGAGTGTGATTTATGGGCTTGCTGAAGGGTTTAATAATATTTGAACTTAATTTATCTCACATTGGAGAAATTTACCTCTGCATTTAACCCATCCCCTTGGGGAGCAGTGGTCTGCCATCTTGGGACACCTGGGGAGCAGTGTGGGGTCCCAGTGTGGCAGTATGTGGGAGTGGGGCTTGAACTCAGAAACTTTGGATTCTAAGCTTCATGCCCACTCCACTTATTGCTGTGTATATTATAGCTGATAAAGCAGAAATTTCACTTCCTGGGAAATTAAGATAGCACAATAAAAGCACACAAAAAATTCCCAAATAGTTAGATCACAGCCTATGCAGCCTTGAGCAGACTGATGATTTGGCTGTTTTCCAGCTGACAGTCAGTGTTGTGCCATATACAAGCATGTAACTGGAAAGTTTTGTGGTAGGAAAATGTGGGCATTTAGTTAGTGTAAATGCTTTATGGATTACCGGAGCCTGTTAAGCACAAAGACGGTCATATTTTATTTTTAAAGCTATTCCTGTACCACAGTCTCCTCTTTAGATGAAAATGTATCTCTTGTTTAAAAATTAAGCCCCCAGTTTTAAAGCGAGAGACTCGGAATCCAAGCTTCTTGAGACCCAGTCTAAAGCGTCCACAGTCGGTGATTTGGTAACCCATGTTACCTGCTGATGCTGGTTTGTTTTTATGAAATAGAAAAAACTTCTGCACCCACCAGCCCAGCATGCTACCCTCTGTTAAAAGGCTTTATGGAGATGCTGATTTCAATTCCAGAAAGACTTGGCATCTACCCATACCGCCAAAAGCACCAATAACTGCTTTATTGACCTTAGTATCACAGCTGTAGAGAATCTGTGCAGCATTGTGAAGAGGAAGATAAGAAACATCAGAATGAAGGCTAGAATTAAAGTAATCTAGACTCCCTTGAAACCTTAGAAGAGCCACAGGCACTCACCTAGACTTTGCTGTAATAAGTAATTTATTGGTTCATGTTATTCTGTTGGATCTTTGAGACACTTCAAACGCATCACTAAACAGTAACTCATTGAATCGAAGTGTCAAAAGAAATAGCTTCCTGAATATTTTGATTTTGTCCTTGTTGCTGTTCATTTTAAAATTGACGTTTTATTTCTTTTTCTAACAGAAATCTCCAAGTGACTACAGCAACTTTGATCGGGAGTTCCTCGGTGAGAAAGTTCGCCTGACCTACGGTGATAAAAAGCTGCTTGCAACTATGGACCAAAGTGCATTTAGGGGCTTTTCCTTTGTCAACCCCAAACTGGAAGAAATGATGAGAAAATAAAAAAAGAATTAAAGTTCTCACTCGGGACACAGAAATAGACTTATTTTATTCCGTTTATCTTCATGTGGTGTTTGGGCAACTGACTTTGAGCCTGGTTGTAACTTTTATGGTTCCTCGGATAGAGGGGCAGAAGAATAGATGGAAAAGTGTACGATCTTACCTCAGCCGTCTAAATGCACAGGTTTCAAACAGCATAAAGGTTCAGATAACTAAGGGAGGTTCTTAAACCAGTCTCACTTTTTATACTAAGGGGTATAAATCAAATATACAATGTACTGTATCAAAGCTGTAATTCACAGGCACAAGGGTAACACTTTTTTTTATAAACAATAACATTACTTTGCACATGCAAACTGATAGAGTTGATGGTACTTGGAGCACTCACTCTAGGCTGCACTTTTTGCACCTTTTGCTACCATATAAACATTTTTTAAAAGGTTTTTGAGTAAAGATGCTTTATTCTATGCAAAATTGTGCTGAATGATAAACACTCAGCTGGTTCATCCAATGCAGAGAGAAGTCTATGCACAGATGGTTTAAATCTGTTCTGAGATTAACTATATATACTATGAAAAAAAATTACTGGAAATGCTTTCCTCAGTGTCATTCATTGCCTTTTTTTTCCAATCAGACATCCAGTCTGAATTAAAAACAAAAGTGTAAATATCACACAGTTTATTAAGAAAAAGGATAAAGGAGGCTCAGTCTGCAAAAAGTTGTTGCCTGTTAAATGTTGCGACTGTACATCTGTATGTAATGAAGGATTTTATTTTATAAGGGAAGTGGCATTTCTATCAAGGAACAGTTCATTAATGTTACAATATTTAAATGTCATTATCTAATAAGAACATAATACAACTTTGTATGAAATAATCAGCATGTATTTGTTTATAACTGTTTAGTGGAGTTCGTTTTTTAACGTCTTCATCTTTTCTTAATGATTCTAAATAAATATACCTGTAAACCTGTTTCCTTCATATTCTTTGTGTTTCTCTGGATTTCCTCTAAGGGTGGTTGAGGCAGTGTGCAAAGTTTACATTTAAATCTCTCCTGAAATTGTGTTGGACATGTAAATCTATCTTAAGAAAATTGTGAACTAAAGAGTATGAGAAATGTATGCATTATAGAGATTGAACTATAATTGAGTAAATTCTGCTTTCCTGTGCATGTTCCTCTTGAGTTCAAAGGTCGACTTTTACATCATCAACTTATTGCATGGTGGCTCCTCTAACTGGCTAAAGGAGAGGATGTTTTTATTTGTTACTTCAACAGGAAATAATGTTTCTACTGTGGTTAGCAGCCTAGTTGACTTTGTCTACAGTGGCTCTCAGGTTTCCAAGATATTATTCTATAAAATTTCAATTAGGACAGTGCACATCACTCAATGTGTCTGCAAATGCTTCAATATAAATATACCAGTTAGCACCAGTGCTACATTTCATCTGTTGTCCTAAGGCAGTTACAAACGTTTAATACGTACAGCTCTGAAGGAAAACGGTCACAATACAAGTCAAAAAACTATTAGGAATATAGGATTTTTTTGTTGTTGTTAGAATAGCCCAGAATTATAAATAATCTAGGATTGTGGTAAGTTTTCAAGCTAATCTGAATAACTTTGAAAGTTGAGTAGTGTCCACTTTTTCAAATCTGGTCACTGTTCTTTTCCCACACATATACCAAAGCACATGTTGTAGGTTTGACTGTTTACATCCTGAATCCTAAAAAAAATAAATAAAATTTATTAAACTAATGTGGTCAAACCTACAACATTGGAACATCCTAATTAGAATATTGTGAAAATGATTTGACTTTTTAATTTTGGAAAGTAAAACTCCTATTTCACATAGATTCATTACACTTTGAATGGGATAGAATAGAAAATCCCTTTATTGTCCCACAATGTGAAAAAATGGTCACACAAATATGGACCTTAGAAAAATGAATAAGAATAACATAATTGAAAAGTTAAAACATCAACAATAAAATATTGTACTGTAAAGAGTTCTAACAATATAAAAACTATGCACCGGAGAATAAATGACCAATATACAGCTATGGACATTGTTACAGTAATGGATATTTGAAAATTTCAACATCAGAGATGTGCAAAATTATTAAAAAATGTAATATTAACAGACTAAGATAGAAACTGCAAAATGAGCCTGAATTTAACAATTTATTGAGGTTGTTGGGAACAGTGATGGTTATAGAGTCTTACAGCTGCTGGGACGAAAGATCTGTGATAACGCTGCCTGGTGCATTTAAGGTGCAGCAGACTGTCACTGAAGGAGCTCTCCAGTTCTGCAGCTTCATGCACAGCTTCATGCATGGGGTGGTAGACATTATCCAACAGAGATGTTAATTTAGTTAGAATCCTATTGTTTCCCACCTCCTGCACTGAGTCCAGAGGGCATCCAATCACAGTTGGCCTTCCTGATCCAGCCACTTTCTCTCAGCTACAGTTAAGCCACTGCTCCATCAGACAGCTCCATAGAAGATGGCTGAAGCCACAACAGAGTCATAGAATGTGTTTAGGAGCGCCCCCTGCACTCCAAAAGACATCAGTTTGACCTTAAAATTAAGACCCCAGAATGAAACAATTCATTAATTTATTTCTTTTAATTTTAATGAATGTGACTTAGAGGTGATACAAACTCACACTCGGCATTTCATAACTAAGATGGCTTAAAATGTGTGTTTGTCTCAATGCAGTCAATATTTCTTATCAATATTTTGATGCATTAATTGCTGCATCAGTGTTGCATGGCATGGGGGCAGTCAGCCTCTGGCACTGCTCCCCTGGTTTGATATTTGACATCAATCTTCATGTCAACTGGTCTCTCTCACTGAACACCCCAAGGATTCTCTATTGAGTCAGGCCAAGAGCGTCTATTAACAGCACGGTCATTATAAAATCAGAATCTCTATAAAGTTTGTCCGCAGAAGGAAGCATGTATGCTGTAAACATTTTGCTTTAATCTTTCCTTAAATTCTTGAATTTATTTTACCTAAAATCCTCTTAAAGTGGCAGTTATCTCTTTGCCAGTGAGTCTTTTCCTATACCACTTTTTTCTTCCTTTAACTGTTCTAAGAAGATGCTTGGATATAAAATTCTGCAAAGAAAAGTAAAAAAGGAGTTTATTTAAACATTTTGTTGTGAAGGATGACAATAAATCACTTCTGGAAATATGTCAAGTCATTTTCCTTAAATTAGGTGTTTAACTTAAATGAATGATTACACTCAAAAGGATTTATATGCCATTAATTAACAGTAAGCCATAATATGATTAATACATGAAGAAATAGCTTGAAATAGCTAACTCTGTGTAATAAAGATATATTACATATGAGTTGAATTTATTTAAACTACGTTTCACTATATTCTAATTGTTTGAGATTAACTTATAAAGACTACACCGACACCACTGCCATCTAGTGGTCACAAAGTGAGTTGCTGCGGTGAGCGGAGGAAGAAACGTGTTCGCAGCGCGCTCGCCTCGTGTGTGTGCACAGTCCCCATCCTCTGAGTCTGTACCAGCGGGATCTTACCTATGTTTAACAAAAAACACAACTGTCGTTTCCGAGGCTGCGTTAAAGCATGAACCTCATGTTTCTATTTATCAATATTTCATATTGTCCCTGGAAATGTTTATAGGGTTCAAACTGAAGTACAATGTTATATTTGTTCTAATAAAATGGCATTGCCCATAATAGATTTTTTATTTTTTATTTTTTTTTTACATGACGGGCTTATTTGCAAACATCTGAATCTTATTTGGTGGCTTCGCAAAAACAGCACCTTTTACTTTTGTCGAATATATATTTTAAAAAAAATTAGGAGATAAAACATTCCCTTTTGATTAAATCATTAAAGCTCTTCCATGATCTCTGCAGTTTAAACCACACTTGCTTCAGCACAGCCAGTACTTTTTTCATGGTTATTTCAACCCCAGTGTGTTGAAAATCGTTGCTCTGTGTTTTTTTTTCTTTTCTTTCCCTTTTGTCATATCAGGCGAAGGGTTGGTCTATTGTGAAGGTTTTTCTTTCTTTCAGCAGAAGCCTTTCTACTAATCGAGCGACAAAATGTGTTTCAGCTCCGCGGTTCTATAGGAGCGGCTCTCACAGAGGAGAAGATGCACTTATTTGGTTGAGAAAGCTCGTTTGTAATGATAAATGGATGGACTTTGAGCGCTGCACTCACACTGTCAACGCATATTTCCAGCAGTTTCTCCCGCCCTCTCCTCCAAAAAAAGAAAAAAAAAAAAATCCGACTTGCCTTCCATGTGCAGCGTGTTGTGCGGGGTTATAATAGGTTTTTTTCCTTGATGAGGCGTTATTATTATTTAATTCAAAGTATAAACTCACCCTGCCTTTATAGATCACACAAGCCCTCTGGCTGCATTTATGCACTTGTAAAATCTCACAAAAAAAAAAGAAAAACATAAAGCAACTCCTTCATATTTAACAGCAATCTATCGACTTGTTTATCAGGAAGTGTTTTGGATGGGGAAAAAAACCCAACAGTTATCGAAAGTGGGTCGATCAACCTATATGTATCTAATTTATTTTAGCTGAACCATCAACTAGAAGTCTTGATTCCACCAGGGAATTCAAAGCCCTCTAACGGCCTAAACTGTTTCAGTAAATGAATGTCAGTGGGGGGATATCGGGGTGTTTCTTTTATTTTCAACGCTTATAATTTTCTGTCTTCACTCAGCTTGTCAGTTGTTTTATTGTGTGTGTGAAGATGGAAGTCGGGATGATGATGATGATGAAGCCAGGCTCAGAGGCATATAGGCGGCAGAACATGCGCAGTGGACACTTGTGCCATATTGGAATGAGGTCGTTTAAGAAAAGTGCGTCAAGCTAACGGAAGTAAGGCGACACTACCCGCCACAATAAAAGCCCCGCGCGTTGCCCGAGCGACGGTTGGAGCTGTAGATGTCGAGGAGTAGAAGCTGCACGAGACTCAACTTCGCCGCCATAATGGAAAGAGGTAGGTTGCAAACCGTTTTTGACTCAAGCTGGGCAATGTTTATATTATCTTGATATACAGTGAACTTTTTTTTTGTTCTGTTTGAGATATTAATTTTAATTACCTGTAAAAAAAAAATAAAATAAAATAAAAAACTGGCAGAGGAAGAAAAACAGTTTAAACAGTTAGTTTCTACATAAATATTTATTTGAAGATTAAATAATTGAATATTAGGTCAATGTGAAATCATAATTCAGGAATATTACATATTTTAAACTCCAATCAGGATATGTGATTAGTTATTTCTCACTGGGAGAAAATGGTGAAAAGATCCAAGCAAGGAACTGAACCATTTTCTCCACGGAAGTCAAGAGTGCTACAAATCATATGTGACTGGGTATAAATCAATTTAAGGTTTCTCTTAAAGGATTGTAAGGGTAAAAAAGTGGTTTTGCACATATCCATCAGATTGAAATTTATTTGACTTTTTTCTAAACTAAAACTTTAAAATTTAAGCTTAAGTGTTATTAGAGCTGTCAGTAATTAATACATTTTCACTTTACATGTAAACTCTTGGTCTGTTGAAAATTAAAGA